ATGTTTGGTTGATGAGACAAAGAGATAAAGAAATACCACAGAACTGGAACAAATCCATGGGGCTAGCAACAGATTTGGAACAAATCCATGGGAAAACTCCAGATCTGGAACAAACACATGTCTCTGGCCAGATCTAGAGTGCTAAAGTTAAATCAGAGGACAATAGTAGAAGATCTGGAACCCAAGTGTCGTGTTTCAGTTCGCCAGCGAGGAAAGACTAGTCCGACCGACCATGGTTGGAGCGATTCAATGAGTTGAGGGCGACCATGCAGATAAACAACTGTCAGAAACGTTACCTTCACCGGAGATGAAGGATACAAGTGGTCGGAGTTTGGACCGTTACAGAGGTGGAGGATGAGAACAGTCCACCCCTCGATAAAATTTCTTCACTGTCGTCGCACAACTTTCGTTTCCCAGTGGGGTCACACTTATTTGGTGAGACCCCACATCCCATATTTTGAGAAGGTTATTCTCATTGCATCGCAACATCTCTCCCAAAACAAATATTCCTATATTCTCATATAAGTGGCACGAACCAAACGAACTATTAAATTTTGTGATTATATTTAATTAACATTAATTGTCTGTTAATGTAATCTTATAAGACGTGATCATTTGTCATCGGATATTAAAAGTAATTTCCTGTTATTTAATCTTATAGAATGAATCAATGAACTAACAGTAAATTACTTTTAATTTACTGTAATTAACAGTAAACTACAGTAAATTAAACTTCCTGTTAATTCATGTAATTTCCTGTGGATCAAAGAGAGGTTGATTAATTGTAATGTAATTTATTTGGCTACTTTGTTTAATTTAAATTTTTTGGCAATTGGGATATCTGTAAATCATTCTCCCTCTTGTTAATTTGCTCTCTCCTCATTTTACAATTAATTGTATATTAATTTAATAATAAATACAAAATTTGGCCAATCTCACTTGGATCGGGCTCATGGCCTGACGTAATTGGGTTTGTCAGAATGCCCCTGCTTTAGTTTGACTTAACAATGGATGTGCGTTGTACGTTGAAATTTTAAATTATAATGACAATTATTATCGTCACTATTATTATTATTATTATTTCATCATAAATAAAAAAAATATTTTAACAATTTTTTATTTAATATGATGAATGTATAACATTAGAAATGTTTCCAAATATTTTTAACAAAATTGAATTTTTTGTGTTCTATCTTTTTTAAATATTTATTATTCAATTATGATATCACCATGAGTTTATTTGAAAAGTTTGATAATTGGTTCACCATGTAGATAGAAAAATAGCAATACTTTCAGGTCAGTTTTAAATTATATATTTCATCTACATTATATAAATGATGTTTGTTTATTATACTTAATTTTTATTTGATATAATTAATATATAATATTAGATATGTGTTCAAATTTTTTATAATTTTTATATTTTTGTTTCCTTGTACCTTTTTATTTTTTAAAAATTTATCATTTTACTATAACATCATTGGTTAATCCATTTGACCCAAACCGCTAACCCACCACCCAAATCATTTATTATTGCATTTCCATCATTGATAAAATTATGTATAATACTTATTTTTGTTCAATATAATGATGTATAATATTATAAATTGAACCAATATTTTATTTTTTATAAATATATAGCATCAAATATGTGCCCAAATTGTTCTCTAGTTTTTCTTTATTTTTTGTGATTTTTTTGTATTTTTATTTTAAAAAAATTATTATTTGACTATGACATCGTTTAATTTAATTTCAAGGTTTATTTTAGATTTGTAATTCCATTATCATCATTAATAAAAATATTTCTTACATTTCGTACTTAATTTTATTTAGTATAATGAATATATAATATTAAAGATATGCTCAGTTCCTTTTTTTGTATTTTTATATATAATTTATTTTGATTTGTTATTATTTAATTATGGCATTATTGGTTAACCCATTTGACCCAAATGGTTAAATTGCTTACCCACCACTGGAAGGAAAGAAAATAGTTTTATTTTCAAATTATTTTCAAAATATTTATTTCTATACTTTTAAAATCAATGTTGTGGATTTAATTAATAGAATTTAATGGTGAGAAAAATATATCTTAAATATAGGATTTAATGAGAGAATATACCTTAGATATGAGACTTAATGAGAGAGAATAAGAAAATGATTTTATTTTGAATTGATTTTAAATTTTAAAGATGTTCCCTAAATTTTCTGCAATTTCCATATTTTTTGCATTTTATAAAGTTTTAATTTTTTTATTATTTAATTGTGGCAACAATGCAACATGGGTTGGCCTATTTTATTCAAGATTGTTCAATTTTTTATGTTATTAGAGTTATTTATCTATGGATTTAATTAATAGAATTTAAAAAGAAACAAAAATGCCTTAAATGTATAGTTAAATGAGGGTGAATGAGAGTTAATATCTTCAATCTAATTTAATGAGTGGGAGTTGATGCAATGAATAAAAATATTAAAATTACATTTTCTGCCCCCATAATAGATAGGGACCCTATTTCAAAAAAGAGGTATTTTAGTCTAGAAAAAATTCGAAAGCCTTAGACCCTATTTGTATTATAAAAAAAAATAGATATAGATTTTACCGTGATGACGTGGTGGAAGAGATCATATTGGCGCCCCACAGCACATCCAAGGGGTGCATTGGGATTTGGGAACATTTACCATTCACAAGTACTAAAGATGTTCCAATGTATGCTCACGTGCATGAGGGGCGTGCTGTATGGGGCGGGCACATTGTAATTACTGTTAAATGTAATTAAATGTAATATTATGTTATTTATAACTTAAATTATAATTACTGTTAAAAAGCATTTAGTTACAGTTTTAAAAATATATTATTTTTTGAAAAAAATTAATGTATTTATTAAAATAATAATTACTGTTAATTGTTGTATGATGCACTGTTAATTATTTTTAATGAAATAAAATTTTCTGGTTATTAAAAAATAAATAATGTTAATTGTTGTGTGACGCACTGTTAAATAATACTGTTTTTAATAAATATTGTAATTATTAAAAAAACTGTTAATTAATAAATACATTACTGTTAATAAATGCTGTTAAATGTACTTTATTACAGTTTAAAGGTAATTATTGTTAATTATATTACTGATAATTAATAAATACATTATTTTTAATGTATTTATAGTAATTTATTAAAATATTGTAATTATAAAAATATGGTTAATTACATTTTAAAATATTGTAATTATAATTACTGCTAATTACAATTTAATTACCGTTAATTGTTGCCAATGCACATTGAAATGGGCATGTGAGGCGCCTGTGTTAGGGCTACAAGTCAAGCCAGGTTAGGTCGGGTTGAGGTCAACCCTAGTCCAACCCGAAGTTCTAAATCCCAACCCTAACCCTAACTTTAACTAAATTCTTTCACCCCTAACCCATTCTAACCCAACCTGAAGTCAATTTCAAGTTGGGCCCAACCCAACCTTCTTCCCATCCCTTAGAACCTCATAGAATTTCTCAATTTTAAATCTTAACTCAACTTTCACTATATATATTAATCCTATATTTCATTAGTATTTGTTTGTTGATGTTTTTTTTTTTTGTTCTTTTGGCACAAAATTCAGAAAAACAAGTGTTAAAAATGACTATAGTTTATTATGAATTATGACTTACAATAGATCTTTCTTGGGCGACAAACAATATAGAGGACATGAAGAATAAAATTTTCATAAAAACATAAAATAATGTAATTAAGGTTTTAGTCTTTCTTATTAGGATTAAGTGAAGTGATTATCTTAAAAGAAACACATGATACTATGTGGTGGGGGCTATACAAATATCATGCATCTAAACAAATCAATGTATATTATATATTACATATAACATATATTTATATATTACATGTACTGTAGAGTCAGATTTAAATTGGGTCGGATTAGCTAAGAGATCAACCTTAATCCAAACCAAAGTAAAGTCGGATTCATTAATTTCAACCCTAATTCTAACCAAAACATCAATCTGACCCGACCCGATCCAACCTTTTCGGGGTGGATTCGGGCCAACCCGGCCCAAGTTGCAGCCTTAGCCTGTGTGTCACTTGTCCTCGGCATCGGCAACCTATGACTTTACAGAAGCGATGGTGGGGTGGGGGATAAAAAAGTCAATGGTCAGTTGGATGCTCGTCTATTCAACGGGGCCCATTCTTTTCTTTGGTGAAAAACGGGGCCCATTCACCATCGTAGTCAATGGCCTCCATTTGCTTCAGTGTGGTCTGTCTTACTGTATAGTTTAAATAGAGGTGCAAGTTGGAAACCCTAGTTGAAGAATCTACACTTTATCGGGCTTGGGCGTTCGGTCTTGGGTCCATTCGAGCCCGCCCAAGTTACCTCCCTACTTTAATTTTTAATAAAAGAAAACGACATGAGGGTTTTAGACCTTTCAAATGGGAGGTTCTCGCCTAATGTCAGCCAGAATGATGAGCCAGAAAATGAGTTCCCGGGCGCGAACCAAACGGGGCCCCGTTTGCATTGACTATTGATATTAGGTCGGTTGACAGGACAACCATGCTGTCCGTGGTCGACGTGCCGGTCGCTTTATCTGTTCTCTCACCCACTCTCCTTCCAAATCAACATTGACTGGACTGGACCGACGTTAGACGTAGTGGGGTGGGGCCCACTGGATGACGTGTCTCCACACTAACCCTCCAGCTCTGTGTGAGCCGTGAGGTGTGAACCCAGATTTTGAGATTAGGCCCGGATGAAATAAGCAATTAAGCATAGAACAACGCGGAATTGTTTGGCATCTCTAGCTTGTTACCATGTTATCGCCTTCACCCTCACCGACCTAGGTTTCGTCCATGCACCGTTGATCTAGCATGGTTTATGACTGATCTTTGGTTCGGATAGGTAATGATGTACTTGATTTTCCTCCTGCTATGCGCCTACAGTCCATCCCACCGTGTATTAGGAACGTCTATCAATGATAAATACGGAAGATGTTCCCAATGCATACGGGGCGCCAATCTTTTATCTCGAAAAATACCCTAACTACCTCACACAGAATTACAAATCTTCTCTCGCTCTCTCGCTCTCTCGCTCTCTCGCTCTCTCGCTCTGCATAGTGCATAGACCATAGTTATAGCTCAAAATTTATTTACAAATCAATCAAGAAATCTCAGTCGCTCCTTCTTTCTCTTTCTGTATCCCCAGGAGTTTGTGAAAACGACAAGAGGAAATGAAGGACGACGTCGCACCGACACCATCGTCGAAGAAAGAAAGCAGCAGCGGCGACGGGAGCCTATTCGGCAAGGGGCGGTACAAGTTCTGGGCCCTGGCTGCTATTATACTTCTCGCGTTCTGGTCTATGTTCACCGGTACAGTTACCCTCAAATGGTCGGCCGGTAACCTAAATCGTCTCTCCGACGACCTTGATACTCCGATCCACGACGATCTCGACGTCCTGGTTTGCTTTTAATCTCCTTTCTATTTGTTTCTTCCCTGTGTGTATTCTTTCGCAAGTGTTGTATTTTGGCTGAAAATATAAGTTCCTCGCCGGCAATAGGAAATCGAGGAGAGGGAGAAGGTAGTGAGGCATATGTGGGACGTCTACACTCATAGCCGTCGGATCCGGCTGCCTCGATTTTGGCAGGAGGCTTTCGAGGCTGCATACGAGGACTTGACTAGTGATGTTCCCGGTGTCAGAGATGCTGCTATATCCGAGATCGCTAAGATGTCCGTGCGCTCTTTAGATCTCGAACCTCCTCCAGTCCAATCAACGGTTCGTTTCCTTTCTTCTTCTTCTTCTTCCGGGAGATAAAGCTAGATTTGCGGAATGTCTATTTTCAAGCGTAGTGGATGTATTTATCTCCATTTGTTTTCCAAAATGTTTTTTTTTTTTTTTTTTTGGGGGGGATGCCATTATTCCGTTTTAATCTCTGTAAGTTGTACTCCTTTTTATTTTTTTCTTGAAGTATTTGGGTTTCATTCTTCGGTTGCATGTTAGTCACTTAGTTCTGCTGTTAATCTTCAATTTAGATTTTTAGATTGTATCTGTTCTGTTACTGCATTGTTCTTTATTCTTCTGCTTCATCTATCAAATTTTTTTTGATAGGCAAATAGAAATTATATTCATTCAAGAAAGAACTAAAGGGAGGGCAAGTTGCCCTCCACCATGTACAAAAAGAGCTTTACAATAACTCTTAGAATGATCATTTTTCTATAAGGTTTCAGGAACTCAAGCCAAAGTTTTCTAATTTAGCTTTGGGCTTCTCTAGCAAGCACTTTGAATTGTTAAATACCAGCCGCAGGTTTTCATGCGTGCGCATTTTCCAATTTTACTATTACCAGTTCAGAGACACTGAAGCATTTAATTTTTTTTCTCAAAGAGAAGAAAACAAAAAGCAATTTAATGTTTGTATGGAAGAAAACTTACACGAATGGTCTTACCTTTTTCCTCTCTGAATCTTGAAGAAAGTCATAAATCGCTGGTGTTTGATCAATTTCATCATTTATGCACCAAATTGTGAATAAATATATTAGGTTGCCTATGGGGAAACATTAGCTGTCTCAAAACTTTTTTCTTCATGCAGGAAATTGGTTTGAATATGATATTTCCAATTGGTATATCTCTTTGAGAATCTCTTTTCAATGACTTATTGGCTGCCCAAAAGTAGGCAATAATGCCAAAGTAACATTCAATGGGTGCATACATTGGGTTGCTTAAAATCATCATGAGTGACCCACTGCCTCAAGTTGTTAGAAGTTTAGAACCGTTTGAACAAGCATCCCAAGTAAAGATGATAATTTTCATATGAAAGGTGTTGCATCATACATGTGAAATGAGTATGTTGTCCAAGGTGATGGATGCTTGTTTTTCTCCTCTTTTTGCTTAATGAAATTAATCAATTGTGAATATCATAGATTGGCACCAAAATTTGAAAGGTCTCTGTGGTTTGCATGTTCAGAGTGCTCAAGTGATTAGGAAGAGGCCCAAGCAAGCAGAGGAAAGCAAGAAGCAGGTGACTTCAGCAGGGAGCCATAGATGAAATGAAGAGTATGTTTGAAAACCCTAATTCACAAGCTTCATCTTTTATGTACTTTCTCTCGTCAAGGCACCCGATATTCTTTGGGAAAGGTGGAGAGTTAAAAGTAGATACACTTTCATATCTTTGTGGCAGAAAGCTTAGGATCCTTGGAACATTTCCCCTCCTCATCTTCTTTCTCCTTCAGAATCTTACAACCATGCGTCCCCCTTGATCTGTTGTGGATAGGTGGATTCTATACTACAGTTTTCAACAGTTGGGTTCAAGTGGAAATATGTTTCTGAAACCTTGCCTAGGAGGCTCTTCATCAAGTTATGAGAGCATGCGTAAGCAAGCTTCAACCATTTTCATTGTCCATTCCTCTTCTTGAACCTTATTGCTCTGTTCACTCAATTGTCATATGTATATTTATATTTGACTGGGATATATGAAAGCAAGAAAGTGAGGTTAATTTAAAGATCACTGCTTTCATCTGTACACTTAATTTGACTAATGATCAAAGGGAACAAATCAAGGTTCAATATATTGGTATGTTAAAGAGTATCAGAAATGCAATTTTAAGAGTTATATTGGGATGTTTTATGGAAGTATGGTGGAAATTCACTTAAATCTCAAAACACCAGTAACACTAATCTCAAAGATCAAATGGATATAGATACTATATAGTAGTTAATAT